GACATGTTAAAAATATGGGTTAATGGTTTGCATATCCCCTCAATTACCCATTTAACAGTTGTCATGGTGATACCATCACTATCACTTGATGTTTTGTTATCACATTTATTTACTATCTCTGTAATTTCCTTTTCAACTATTGGCTTCAAGAACATAGAACTCATGTTCCTTTCAATTGTATTATTATTTCTAGTGACAGCTGAAGCATCTGTACAAATACTTCTTCCTAAACTAGGGCCAACATTCACAAAAAATCTGTTAAACTTATCAGCTGCATCCTCCATTCTGATGACCGGTGTATCATTATCCATAAAGTATTGGGGGTAGTTACTCTTACTGGAACTGTTTCTAATCAATTTATTTAATATATTCCAAGTACCTCTCATGTTATTTTTATTATCCTCCAATACTTTAGAGTAATATAGTTTCTTACATCTCCTCAGGATCTCAATTAATTTGTTCTTGTACGCCTTATATTTTGCTTCCGTCTTTTTTGATCTGTCTTTTATGAAATCCTTGTATAGTGCATTCTTCTTTTTACATGCATTCTGTAATCCCTTACTTATCCATGGTTTCTCACTGTAATTCCTTTTGTTTTTATATTGCTTACGTGGGCAGGTCCTGTCATATACTTCCTGAAATATATTTAAAAACTTTTCATATGCTTTATCTAAATCTGCCTCTCTGTAAACTGCTTCCCAATCCTGCCCCCTTAATTCCTCCTTAAGCCTCCAAAATTTGTTTCGTCCAGCAAAGCTAAAGAACTTTCCTTTAAAATCTTACATAAATTTTACCCATTAAACTCCATTATTTGTAAATACTACATAGAAGAAAAATGTTCTTTTTGCAACAATGAGCTAGAAACTCTAGAGCATCTTTTTTTTCCAATGTGCACATGTTGTAGTATTTTGGACTGACTTTTATCTTGGTAAGGAAATTGCATTTAATAAATATGATATATTATTAATTTTTGACAAGGCCCGTTTCTCTAGCAATGAAAAATATGTTATTAATCTGTTCATTATTTTGGCCAAATTCTTCATCCATAAAATGAAATTTCTGAAAAAATCACCATCCTTTTCAACTTTTAAACAATCTGACCTTAACAATTACTTCCAAACACTGTCACAATTAAACCACCTTAACAAAAAACGAACCAAAACCTTTGACCTCCTAAAACATCTTAATTTTATATCAGAATAGCTTTACCTCTTTGTATTTTCTTTTCTTTGTTCTCACTTGTTTGGTTCTGTTATTCTTTTTCACTTTGTTATATTATGCCTACCGTACTTTTGTCCTGTTGTCCTCTAAATGCACAATGTTATACATCTGTTGCAACAATTTATGCAGAAATATCTTGTATTGATTTGCATTGTTGTTTAATAATAAAAAAAAAAGTCCTGGCTTTTCCGGTGGGAAGAGTGAAGAGGGAGGCCAGCTAACGCCAATCAAAACAAAGTCTTTGTCTTGGTAACATGAACATTGCATGTGGCCTTTATGCCCAGTTGACAGCATTACAATCCTATCTATAACCTTAGAGCTGACCACTGCTGGTGTTTTCCCCGCCCACGGCTGTTCCATGCGGCGGTCTTCTTGCTCTCACACTGCAGACAGTGACTTCTGATAACAACAACAACAACAATACCTACAGTACATGTCTTAAAGGGGAAGGCCTGGCCTATAACAAACCATTTGCAAATGAAAGCTGCTGTGGGGACCTTCTCTGCCATAACTTGCTAGCTTTATGTCTGTGCAAATTCTCAGTCATCCAGGTCATAGTATGCTTCAAAAAACTTGAGAGAAGAGTCAAAGAAGCAATATTTGTCCAAATAGAACACCCCTCTCTAAATAGGGGTGGTGGAATAAGACACAACTTGCCATCCATCTACAACTCTGTTTTGAAATATCTACCCAAACATTTTCACCCTAATTCGCACCAGGACAATAGGCGTTGGTCCACATGTGAGGTTTCAAAGACGGATAAGAGGACATTGTTGGCCACTGAAGGACTGAAACACCACCCAGTTGGATAAATACCTCCTGCTCACCACCAGTCAAACAGAACTGATGATGCCTCTTGGATGAGAGGTGAAATGTCTTCTACCGAAAACAAAGTCCAGATGATTTCTTCTAAGATTTTTCAGCTCGCTAGCTATAGCTGTAAAACAGAGCAACTGCAACACGCTCTTTGTTCTCACTTGTTTGGTTCTGTTATTCTTTTTCACTTTGTTATATTATGCCTACCGTACTTTTGTCCTGTTGTCCTCTAAATGCACAATGTTATACATCTGTTGCAACAATTTATGCAGAAATATCTTGTATTGATTTGCATTGTTGTTTAATAATAAAAAAAAAAGTCCTGGCTTTTCCGGTGGGAAGAGTGAAGAGGGAGGCCAGCTAACGCCAATCAAAACAAAGTCTTTGTCTTGGTAACATGAACATTGCATGTGGCCTTTATGCCCAGTTGACAGCATTACAATCCTATCTATAACCTTAGAGCTGACCACTGCTGGTGTTTTCCCCGCCCACGGCTGTTCCATGCGGCGGTCTTCTTGCTCTCACACTGCAGACTCTGACTTCTGATAACAACAACAACAACAATACCTACAGTACATGTCTTAAAGGGGAAGGCCTGGCCTATAACAAACCATTTGCAAATGAAAGCTGCTGTGGGGACCTTCTCTGCCATAACTTGCTAGCTTTATGTCTGTGCAAATTCTCAGTCATCCAGGTCATAGTATGCTTCAAAAAACTTGAGAGAAGAGTCAAAGAAGCAATATTTGTCCAAATAGAACACCCCTCTCTAAATAGGGGTGGTGGAATAAGACACAACTTGCCATCCATCTACAACTCTGTTTTGAAATATCTACCCAAACATTTTCACCCTAATTCGCACCAGGACAATAGGCGTTGGTCCACATGTGAGGTTTCAAAGACGGATAAGAGGACATTGTTGGCCACTGAAGGACTGAAACACCACCCAGTTGGATAAATACCTCCTGCTCACCACCAGTCAAACAGAACTGATGATGCCTCTTGGATGAGAGGTGAAATGTCTTCTACCGAAAACAAAGTCCAGACATTGAGAGCTGATGTACCAGAGTCAAATTCCTCGTGTATCCGACACACCTGGCCAATGAAGCAGATTCTGATTCTGATTATTTGTGTGTGTCCCCCCAAAAAGAAAATAAAGTGGGTATTTTTTATTGTGTAACTAAGTAGTTGCTTATTACAGCGCAGACCAGTGTTGTCATTTTAACTCAGAGTTAGCCAGATAGGTCGTGATCTTGTTGCAGATCACCTTTTGTTATTTCTCTGGCTTGCTTTTGAGCAGTGAACATGTCAATCAAATCTAATACACAAAACCTCCAGTAGATTGTGAAAATTATAGCAGTTAAACATCTGAATAGTTGCTGTGAACATTTTAGCATGCTGACAGATAAAGTCCTGATAATCATATATTGTTTTATAATGTGCACTAGGCTACTGCATGTCTCTGCTTTTAACAATAATGATTCCATTTTTTGGCAACAGGAAAGAGAACTCAGCACACACAGACAGAGCCATTTGAATTAAGGCAATGGTCAAAAACAGGCAACCAGTCCTGCAATTTAAAGTCAGTCCAAACAAACAGGGCAAGTTCAGAAACAGGAAGCAGGCCTAAAAATGATTACAAAGCACAGACAGAAACTGTAGAGCCGAACCAGTATCAGGGTCTGGAAACAATGGCTGGACAGTAATGGTGTCATTGCAACTCAAACAATCTGGAGGAGAACAGTGGGGAAGAGGTTCTAATAAACTGGGGTAAAATGAGGGAATGAGGGACAGACCTAGTGTGAGGTGGGATAGGGTAACAAGGAAACTCTGAGGGCATCTAGTGAATAGCTTGAAAATGCAACAGTTGCAGAAAGGAGAAGAACTGCAAACAAATATGTTTTGGTGAAAAGTGAAAAGCGCTTCAGTGATAACAAAAACACAGGTAAACATAACTGATAGACACACAGATAAACTAGCACATATGATAAAAACGGTGGTAAGCATATACATTAGAAATAGAAACAGGATGATAACTGACCCTGGAACTGGTAATGGCAGCCAGTCAAGGACACAGATAAATGTTATGGCTAGTACAAACATAACAGAAACACAGGAAAGAATGCTGGTAGATGCGATGGTCCGCTAAGGTAAGTACAACAAATAAAGAGATTCGTGCAACAAGACAGGGAATATGACTGACTCAGGTAAGAATTCAAATGCAAGTAATAAAGCTGGTTCAGGGAAATATAGCCAGACGTAACAGGACTCAGATTTTATGTGTAAAGCATGCAGGTGACTGACAAACTGGAGTAAGCACAGAACACAAATAAGAGTGACAACCAGGAAAACAACAAGCAAGCTCAACTTGGGAACTGGCTAATTAGTGGGCACAGGAACAAACAGTTCAAGTCAAAACAGGCAAGCCAGGAAACAGTCCAGGCTTGTGGCTGACAGATAATCAGATCAGCGTGAAACTAAAGTCTATACACAACTGATCCAAATGCAGGATCAATAGTGTGTGTGTGTGCGTGAATTTTGTACATACTGTATATTACAGCTGCTGTTGTACTGTGGCATTTTTTTGAATCCTGACTGTTGAAGTTGTTTTTTTGTCACCAGAAACAATTGTTTACTAGCAGCTGCAGATTTTTACTAAGAAGGACAATATTGAAATTGGATGGTATTTATGATCACCACCCTGATATAACTGAATGCCCTTTGGAGTTTTCCACATTTTGGGAATTTTACCAGGCACATATGACATTAGAAATGTGTGTTAGACTGAATGAGGCCATTATAAATATTTAGGTAAATAATAAAGGGGAATTAAATCAATAGTATCAGCACATTCCGTTACATCATAAGATATTATACAGTAGTAGTACTGTAAAGGTATCTGTCATTATGCCACAATAGAAATGTTTGTATTTCCTGAAATCTCAATTAAGCTAAAAAAAAAAATGACATTGGTTGCTACTAAAAATATATTTGGGGTGTTCTGTGAAAAGCAAATCAACTGTTAAACCTAAAACATATAATTTAAACCCAGTCCTTGATAAAACCCTGAAACAACTGTATAGGAAACCTTGGCAAATAAATGTAGACATCAGCCCTTCTGCCGCAGCTTCTCACTGAGTTCACACAAAGTATCAGTCACACTGATCTTGTTGCCACTCCAATACTAAAATGAGAGCAAAAATCTGGGTTTAAAACCACATTTGCCTTTGGAGTTGAACCAGTCATCACTGAGACACACAGTTCAGTTGAATAAAACGTTCCTTTTGTTTGTGTTTCTCTGTGTCAGAGTAGCCAGAACAGATATACCGAATTACGGATATGAATACAGGGTGATAAAAAATGTTACAGCCCCTCCTCTACTCTTCCAAAAAAGTCAGGCTTCCTTTCCTTCAGCAATCAAAATTACTCCTCCTTTTCCTGTAATCGTGTTCATGTAGTCCCTTATTCTGGGACTACAAATCTACTTAGATGGCATTTTCCAAAATTTTACAAGTGTTCAGATGGGTTTCACATAGCTGCATCAACCCATTCAACCACCCCTTGTAATCTGTCCTGGTTTCTGCATTCATGATGCATGTTTTCAGGATTTCAGTTAATTATTAAACACATTTTAAAATGAAGCTAAAGTAATTAGTAAATTGCTCTTCCTCCCTACTGATGTGTATTTCTTCATACTCAGGTTTATGTGTATGACACTGTATGTCTGACTTTTTTTCAGCTCTGCCTGGGCAAAAAATCAAAAGGTAATTAAAGCTTGAGAACATCTTAATTTAACTAATTTATCTTACAGTAAATACCAACAATGTTATACATACTAAAAGGTAGAGGACTATAACATACAAAAAAAAAAGTTTTATAAAGTTTTAAAAAGCACCCAAGTATTTCTCTAGTATCTAATATCCAAGTTTACTAATATCCAGTATCTTGAATACAACGATCAGTATTTTAGGATAGTATTTCTTATAACAAATACATTTTTAACAAAAATTAGACGCCGTCCCTGGTAGGCTAGTGGTTCGACTCAGGGTTGCGTCAGCAAGGGCATCCGGCATAAAACATGTGCCTACTGTCAACATGAGAGTCGTCAGCGTGACGATTCACTGTGGCAACCCCTAAACGGGAAAAGCCGAAAGTAACTTTCTATTACAAATATTAAACATTGCACAAAACTGTGGCACAAAAAATAAGCATAAGAAGCTTGCATGTTCTAAATTTATCAAGATTTAAATGTGTCCCCCTGATAAGATGGTTATCATGACTGACCACAAAGTGAGGGAAAATACTGCCAGAAGCAAAAGCACAATACACTTGACAGTTTATTAGGGCTTTTATGTCAGTTTACAAAAACTAGGTGTACCTAACAAACTAGCAATATATATACCAACACTCCTAACCATTGTTTGATGCATTAACATAATTTGATCAAAATATTTTGACAAAGTTATAAATAAATGAGCAGATCCTAAGTAAAATGGTTGGGGCTCACATTAAAACACTGATTAAATATAAACACAGGTGATACAGACCAACACCTTGACCTTTGAATCAACAAGATCTAATTTCATTACACAGTTTTATCACTGGTGCAAAAAGCACGTTTTAAATCAAGAGTAACACACAAGTAATCCCAAAGTTAATGTCCAAAGTGAAAAACAGTGGTGTTTAAAGTCTTAAAACGGCCCTTTAGTAAGGAGATCGCCATGTTCCCATTAACCCACTTTTCTTCCTCTGAGTTGTGCTTCAGTCTCATTTGGCAATGATGCTGCATCAGCAGTGTCTCTACTCTGAATGGGAAGTTGTGTGTGCCAGTTTCACACCCGAGGTTCGATCACAGCCGGACTGCTCAGGCCCAGCACACCTGTGGTCTTCAGGGAGATTTGAGGAGTGTGAAAAAGGGCTGGTGCTCAGCTGACTGTCTTCTCTGGGGACTGTTGGTGGGAATCTTGGTTCAAGAAAGCAGATTACAAACAAAAACAATAAAACAGAAGAAGGTTGTCAGTGGCCTATTCAGAGGATACAACTCTGACTGTATAACCTCACAGTCTCATGTGGCTAATAGAAATTCTATAAAACAATCCCAAGATCATCCAAAACATGTTTATAAATAAGGCTGGCAGGATTCTCTACTTTTATTTTCAACAAATCCCATAAAAAGACTGAAATGAACAACAAATTCATCTTACCAAATAATGTCTGTACTGTAGTGCCAAACTTTGGTTAAATTTTAAGTTAAATTTTTGAATAAAAACTATTACAAACACACCGAGCCACAGTGTTACACTGAGTGTATTCTCAATGGGGATCAATGCTATCTAGACCCACAAATCTGCTGAAATGCAGACAGCAGCTGTCTATCATAAACTTCTGTGCTACACTGGCTACACCACTAAAGCTACTGCGATAGCTGTCACTTCTTCTGCTGACCTCATGGTCAATCAATGCATAGTAAATATGAGTTAAAAGGTGTGTTGCTGATGTAGTCGGTTATAACCCAAAGTAGTGTCTTAATATAGAAATGGAAAGCTCTTGAAAAAGGTCGTATTGCATTTATCAGCATCCTGCTTCTACAACAAAATAATGATCCAAAGCAGACCTGAAAACCGCTTCAAGAAACACAAGCTGAAGCTTTTGGAACAGCCCTCATTGTCCTCTAACCTGAACATCAGTGAAACCTATGGGTAGATCCTAAAAGTTGTACGTGTGTAAGAATGCCTAATCTCTGAGAGACTCAGTGATGTTCAGGAAGAGTGGGTGAATATTCAGAAATCAAGAACCCACACTGGTTTCAATAAATTCATCATAACCTTCATGCAGGATTTATTCCCCTATTCCTGCGGCAGTAAAATGCCTACCTTGAACTTCCTTTGTCCCTTTTCTGTCATCGCTTAATGCTGCCTTTGTCCTTCTTTTCACATTCTGTAATGCAAGTAAAACGGTTAACAGTTTAGGGCTACTGTTCAGTCTACCAGAGGGACGTTTTATACATGGATAATTATATCTTGCATTTGTTAATTTGACAAGAATGAATAAACCCCACACCTGAAGGGACACTGATCTGAACACTGCCCTGTTGCTCTCCATCCTGTTGGTATGGGCTCAGGCACAGGAAGAGGCTTTTTAGAACTGAATTTGCAGAGGCTGGTACTGCAGATTCTACAATATCAACAAGGCATCAAGAACATATTTTAGCAATACAAAGCGTCATGTCACACTGATATTTGTAAGATGCCCTTACCTTTGTGGGACGAGATGTTGGACAGCTGCTGCTGAGCTGGGGTTGCAGATGAATCTGGACTATTAGAAGCTGAACTGGAAGAATCAGACACAAGGCTGCAGACGGGATTCACCAGTTGCTTTGTAGGTTTATTTACAGGCTTAGATAAGACATCTTTACTTTCATTTTTAGGACTAGGAGAAATTTTAGGAGCTTCTGATCTGTGAGACATTGGTTTGACATCAATGTGGACTCCGAGTGGGAGAGGTGTCTCTGAATTAGAAGCTCTTTGTTTGGAGTCTGATACGTGAGCTGTATTATCAAGTGACTGGTCAGACATTTGAGAAGATGAGGAAGTCCTTGAAAAATCTGAGTGAGATTGCCCACATGTAGGAGAAGCAGCTCTGAGAGGGGCAGCAAAAAGGCTAAGGAAGGACCTGGCAGGGGCCTTGTCAGTTTCAGTGTGTATATCTTTATCTGTGCAATGTGTAGACTGTAGACCAGGACAGGAAGATTGAATCAAGTCTTGAGGGCACCCAGGTGTTGTTACAGAGTCTGGTGTTGACTTCAGGCCATCAGTGAAGGGGCTTGCAAAAAGGCTGTAAAATGGTCTTTTCTGGGTCTTGTTGCGTCTCACTGACAAATCACCACAATGTGTGGCTTTACTGCTGCATTCTGCTGTGGCCTCAGTAGAATAATGTCGTTGTGCACTAGACCCGAGGGCAGACTGTGACTTTTTGGAGTGCTGGTGAATCTCTGTGGATGGATTTTCTGAAAAATGATGACTGACAGAGTCTCCAGATTCAGTGGTCTTAGCAGTGCTGGTGACAGGTTCAACAAAAACAGCAGCTCTATCTTTAAACTCGGATAAACCTGAAGGACAAAGAGGCTTTACCAACACTTGTGAGTCAGACGTCAAGGCAGAGGCATGTGGCTTCAACTGTGTAGGACGTCCCAGAGTACCTGTCAGGCTTTGATGCTTACTGGATCCATAAAGAAGAAGTCTTTCACTTTTGCGATTTACAGACCATGTAAGATCTGCAGGCAGATGCAAAGAAGACATGAAAGGAAGCATGCTTTTGCAGGATGCAGGTTTCTCTGCCACTGTGACAGGAGAATGCAACAATTCGAAGCTGATTTCACATGAAGCTTTCTGAGCAGGTTTCAAGGAAACTGGGATTTCCCCAGCTTGTTTCTGGTGATTCCCAGAGGCCAGAGTATGACCAGGACAGGTCTCTGAAATCAGGCTGGTATGCACTTGGAGGGATGATAGACTTTTGAAAATTTTTTCATTGGGTTTTTTTGCTTCATTTCTGGTACTTACTGGATATAAGACTGTTTCATTTTGGGTTTCTGAGCTTAGCAGAGGTTCAGTGACTTCACAGCCAGCAGTTGGGGTATATAATACAGTCTGTGCAGCTGGAGGGGTAGGTGTTTGACCAAAGGTAGACTTTTCCACTGATTTACAACATCTGAGAACAGCATCAACAGAATAGGGAGCTTCACTTTGGTTTGCAGAGCCTGAACTGCAATCAGAAGAAGTCTTTGCAACAGAGACAGAAGTAGATTCTTGACTTGCAGGAGTTGTATATGAATGGGGGAATGGTTTGAACAGCTGACGTCCAAGAACTGCTTCAACTGAATAACAAACTGGCTCCTCGTGATTACGTTTAGTTGATGGCGGGCTGAGAGCTTGGGCTGCATCTGATGCACTTGGTAGAACAGCTTCATCCATGATATCAGATGGGTCTTTAGTTTGACATAAGGCTTCATGCTCAGTATTTGTTTCTCCACTGTTGTAGAAGTTTGGCCTGAAAAATAAAAATCCTGTGAAATGTCACACCTTGTGTGGATGACATGGATTTCTTTGCAAGAACTGGTGATATATTTACAGCATTACAATGACAGGTGCAAGTTTGTTTGTGCATACCTGACTGGCTGCGTCAGTATATCAGGGGTTCTGCTTGCTTCTATAATTTTGGGCTCGTCTGCAGTCACTGGCTGTCCTGTTGACTCCTGTTCAGCTTTTTTTGCTAGTTCATAGAGGTCTTTTTCCCGTTTTAATGTCTGCAGTGAGAAGTAAACCACACATCAGAATATAAGTGCATATTAAACAGCCAAAGAAAAACTTTGTGACTGGACGTCTACATACACACCTCATCTAACAGTCGGCTAGTAAGCTCATTAAGTGGCTCATGGGAAAACCTGCAATCTGCTCCTTGATAACATTTTCCTTTTCTGTGGAAGAACTTGCAAGGAAAGGACTGTGCAGCTTTGTAAAGGAAATCAAATGTTCAACAGCCTCCAGTTTCTAATTATAAGCAGTGCAACACTCATCAGAACAGTGAGTTTATGACCGGAAGTACACATTACTGCAGATGAACCAAAGGATATTGTGCATGTATGGGCATCTCTCCCCCTTTGTGCAGAGTCCTTGGATGTAAAATTTGCAAACTTCTTTGAAGAGATCATTGTAACCCTGAACATGCTCCATTTGGCAGTCGTCACCCTGCGTACAAGGAAAACATGTCAAACAAAAGGTATTTTTTGACCCTACAAGTAACTAACTTGTCAATTTTGGTGTAACCTGCCTTTATACATCTTCCCCAGAGGAAATGTCGACAAAGCAACCGACCATCCACTAACAAAGCATTCTGGTCCTTGAATTCTTGGGCCATGAACCTTGTGCGGTTCACTTTAATATCCTAGGGATGAAAGATGAGCATAACAATAAGATTCCCATAAAATATTTAAGAATAATACATTTTCAAAGCATTTCAGAGCCCCCTTGACATAATTCTTAGGGGGCATTTTGATCTTTTGTTAGACACAGTTAATTACTTCACACTGCTGTAGATGACTGCCCTTACTCTGGACATACCATAGAAATCTGGATAGTAATGTGTCTGCTCCATCAAATATCTGCAATGACCCCCGCATTCACAAGGAGCAAACAGGACAATGGCTGTAATAGTTATAGAAAACTAGCTTTAATTCACACGTGCTTGTTACTTTCAAGGTACAACATCAACAAGAAGAGACTTTCAGTTCACTTCTAATGTAAAAATGAAACTAAATGTGTTTAATGGACATTACGTACCGTCAAAGGGATTCCAGCCCATGTCTATTATCTGACCCAGTTTTAGAAATGTTCATTTTCTTTACACATGCAAAATGATGAATGCGTATTCTGCACAGCAGCAGGCAGGTGCTAGGGCTGACTGATAAGTCCTATTTTCATTGTCATCTTGATATGAACATGCATAGTAAACACATCACAAAAGACAGCTTGAAACGCAACGAATAAGAAAAATCATTTTATTTACACACTCCGCAGACTGTTTCCCATACACTGACTTATTTGTGGCGTGCCGCCACAATACCAGCAAGGACCGCCACATATAGATTTAAATTAGATTAAATCTTATTTCAACGTAATGCCGTGCATAGTTCATGTATTCGCTTAGGCCCTCCATGCCCTGCTTTCTCTCTCTCTCTCACACACAAACGCATGACAACCATGATGGCAAACCCTCTGTGAACACTTCGTCCCCAAAGTTGTTTGTTTTTAACACAACACTGTCAATCGTGGAGACACAACTCCGGCCATCCGTTTGTGATCTCAAGCTGAAGCGAACTTGGGTTCTGCAGCAGGACAATGATCCAAAGCACACCAGCAAGTCCACTTCTGAATGGCTGAAGAAAAACAAAATGAAGACTTTGGAGTGGCCTAGTCAAAGTCCTGACCTGAATCCAATTGAGATGCTGTGGCATGACCTTAAAAAGGCAGTTCATGCCCGAAAACCCTCCAATGTGGCTGACTTACAACACTTCTGCAAAGATGAGTGGGCCAAAATTCCTCCACAGCGCTGTGGCAGACTCATGGCAAGTTATCGAAAACGCTTGATTGCAGTTGTTGCTGCTAAGGGTGGCCCAACCAGTTATTCGGTTTAGGGGGCAAACACTTATTCACACAGGGCTTTGTAGTTTTGGATTTTGTTTTCCCTTAATAATAAAAACCTTCATTTAAAAACTGCATGATGTGTTTACTTGTGTTATCGTTGACTAATATTTAAATTTGTTTGATGATTTGAAACATTACAGTGTGACAAACATGCAAAAAGATAAGAAATCAGTAAGGGGGCAAATACTTTTTCACACCACTGTATATATATTGTATATATCCATCTGTGTGCATTGTGCTGTTGCATATGAACATGTGCTATATAAATAAATGTGCCTTACCTAATATACTGTAACGTTACTACTAAACAGCCTTTAGTTCTTTCTGATCTTTGACACGGGTATTTACTGAGCAGAAATTGAGTTCATTACTAGTTTACTGTTTACTTGCCCCTTGCATGAGGATATGTACATATACATTGAGAGCTGATGTACCAGAGTCAAATTCCTCGTGTATCCGACACACCTGGCCAATGAAGCAGATTCTGATTCTGATTATTTGTGTGTGTCCCCCCAAAAAGAAAATAAAGTGGGTATTTTTTATTGTGTAACTAAGTAGTTGCTTATTACAGCGCAGACCAGTGTTGTCATTTTAACTCAGAGTTAGCCAGATAAATACTCTTTTCACCTAAATAGGTCGTGATCTTGTTGCAGATCACCTTTTGTTATTTCTCTGGCTTGCTTTTGAGCAGTGAACATGTCAATCAAATCTAATACACAAAACCTCCAGTAGATTGTGAAAATTATAGCAGTTAAACATCTGAATAGTTGCTGTGAACATTTTAGCATGCTGACAGATAAAGTCCTGATAATCATATATTGTTTTATAATGTGCACTAGGCTACTGCATGTCTCTGCTTTTAACAATAATGATTCCATTTTTTGGCAACAGGAAAGAGAACTCAGCACACACAGACAGAGCCATTTGAATTAAGGCAATGGTCAAAAACAGGCAACCAGTCCTGCAATTTAAAGTCAGTCCAAACAAACAGGGCAAGTTCAGAAACAGGAAGCAGGCCTAAAAATGATTACAAAGCACAGACAGAAACTGTAGAGCCGAACCAGTATCAGGGTCTGGAAACAATGGCTGGACAGTAATGGTGTCATTGCAACTCAAACAATCTGGAGGAGAACAGTGGGGAAGAGGTTCTAATAAACTGGGGTAAAATGAGGGAATGAGGGACAGACCTAGTGTGAGGTGGGATAGGGTGACAAGGAAACTCTGAGGGCATCTAGTGAATAGCTTGAAAATGCAACAGTTGCAGAAAGGAGAAGAACTGCAAACAAATATGTTTTGGTGAAAAGTGAAAAGCGCTTCAGTGATAACAAAAACACAGGTAAACATAACTGATAGACACACAGATAAACTAGCACATATGATAGTCTTTTTAAGTTCATCACTCATCCACACGAGTGTGCAGTGGACAAAGCCGACCTGAGTTACATCCCTGGTGTCTCCATCAGAGATTTTGAGGTAGAAGTTGCTGACCTGAAGGCCTCAAACATGTGGGTGAATAAGTTCAAGTCACTGAATGAAGATTTGGAAAGACTTGCACGACAGCAAGCAGAGCTGGCGAGCAAACACAAGTGGACAGAAATGAAAAAACTTCAACCCGCAGACCAGCTGATTGTCCAAACTTGGAACGCGCTTCCTGTCATATACCACACACTGCAGCGTGTGAGTATTGCCGTATTAACCATGTTTGGCTCTACGTATGCATGTGAACAGTCGTTCTCACATCTAAAAAACATCAAGACCAACCTACGATCACGTTTAACAGATGGAAGCCTCAACGCCTGCATAAAGCACGTATCAACCAGACTACAAAGCCATCAGCAAAACCATGCAGCACCAGAAGTCACATTAAGGAAGTAAGAAGTAAGAAGTACTGGTAAGAAGTGTTTTATTTATTATTAGTTGGCTTCAGTATAACAATGTTATTAAAATGAATACATTCAGAGACTTATTATACTCTAAAATAGTTGGTCTTACTTAAAAATGCACGCATTTAGTTATATTCAGTGTTAAAAATTATTATATGGCTCTCACGGAAATACATTTTAAAATATGTGGCTTTCATGGCTCTCTCAGCCAAAAAGGTTATGGACCCCTGGTCTAAAGGCTAGCAGAAGATCATTGGTGACTTTCACCAATGCGGTTTCTGTACTATGATGGACTCTAAAACCTGACTGAAAATCCTCAAACAAATCGTTCTTGTGCAAGTGGTCACATAACTGCTTTGCAACAGCTTTTTCCAGAAATTTAGAAATAAATGGTAGATTGGATATTGGTCTATAATTAGTTAGGACACCTGGGTCAAGAGTAGGCTTTTTGAGTAGAGGTTTAATTACTGCAAGTTTAAAAGCCTGTGGAACATAACCTGTTAATAGAGAGAGGTTAATCAGATCTAGTATGGATGTGTTGATTAGGGGAAAGACGTCTTTGAGCAGCCTGGTCGGGATGGGGTCCAGGAGACATGTTGATGATTTAGATGAAGCAATTGTTGAGGTCAACTCAGAGAGATCTATAGGGGAGAAGTAGTCCAAGTATAAATGAGGTCTTACAGATGTTTCTAAAGCCATTGTAGTAGATGGCACATCTGCAAGAGCTGTGGGAGTGGTCCGACCAATTTTTTCTCTAATAGTTGTGATTTTATTTGTAAAGAAGCTCATGAAGTCATCGCTGCTGAGATCTAAGGGAATGTTAAGCTCAACAGCACCGTGGCTCTTTGTCAGCCTGGCTACAGTACTGAAAAGAAACCTGGGGTTGTTCTTATTCTCCTCAATCAGTGATGAATAAAATGCGGTTCTGGCACTATGAAGGGCTTTCTTATATGTTATTAAACTATCTTTCCAGGCTATGAAAAACTCTTCTGACTTAGTGGAGCGCCACCTCCTTTCCATTTTTCGTGATGCCTGCTTTAGGGAGCGGAGCTGCGAGCTGTACCACGGGGCTAGCCTCCTCTGTTTCACTACCTTCTTTTTCAGAGGGGCAATGGTATCAAGTGTATTACACAGGAAGGCTGCAGTACTATCAACAAGATTATCGACTTGTGTGGGAGTAAAGTTAAGGTGGCCTCCTTCCACTGTGTTGGCAAACGGCACTGAAGTAGATAAAGACGGAATTATTTCCTTAAACTTGGTAACAGCATTGCCAGATAGACATCTGCTGTAGTGGAATTGTTTCCCACATAGAGTATAATCCATTAATGGAAAATCAAAAGTTATTAGAAAATGGTCAGACAGAAGAGGGTTATGGGGAAAAACTATTAAGTGTTCAGTTTCGATGCCATATGTCAGAACAAGATCAAGAGTGTGATTAAAACAGTGAGTGGGTTTATTTACAGTTGGAGAGAAGCCAACTGAGTCTAATAATGAACAGAATGCATTGTTGAGGCTGTCATTGTCGGCATCTACATGAATATTAAAGTCGCCTACTATGATTATTTTATCTGTACTAAGCACTAAATCAGACAGAAAGTCTGAGAATTCACTTAAAAACTCTGAATAAGGAGCAGGTGGACGGTATACAATAACAAACAGAACAGGCTTTTGAGTTTTCCAGTTTGGGTGTGAGAGACTCAGGGTGAGACTTTCAAATGAGTTATAACTATGTTTAGGTCTAGGGTTGATTAATAGGCTTGAGTCAAAGATCGCTGCCACGCCACCACCTCGGCCTGTGTTTCGAGGGATGTGACAGTTACTGTGACCAGGTGGAGTGGATTCATTTAGACTGACATATTCTTCCTGCTGTAACCATGTTTCAGTAAGACACAATAAGTCAATGTGATGTTCACTTATCAAATCATTCACTAACAGAGATTTAGATGAGAGAGATCTGATATTTAATAGTCCACATTTGATTGTCCTATTACTTTCTACTATAAGAGGAGTCATCTTAATTTTAATTAGGTTCTTATGAATAACTCCTCTGGAGTTGATTCTTGATTTATATAATTTAGGTGGGCGGGGGGCAGACACAGTCTCTATGGGGTACTGGGAGCGTAGGGTGGGTAGCAGCTGCAAGGACACAGCAGAGAGGCGTGTAAGACTGCGACCCTGCATCCTGGAATCAACTCTGGGTTGTCATAATTTAGGTTGTAAAACAAACTCGTTCAGATTTCTAGATAAGAGAGCCGCACCACCCAAAGTGGGATGGATGCCATCTCTACTAATCAGACCAGGTTTTTTTGATCTCCAGCAGCTAGCTGGCTTCAGATCTAATCTCCTGCAGTCATTCAAAGAGAGAAGAGAATTTCGTCAGCACACTCGTCTTTTTAAGTTCATCACTCATCCACACGAGTGTGCAGTGGACAAAGTCGACCTGAGTTACATCCCTGGTGTCTCCATCTGATGAATAAGTTCAAGTCACTGAATGAAGATTTGGAAAGACTTGCACGACAGCAAGCAGAGCTGGCGAGCAAACACAAGTGGACAGAAATGAAAAAACTTCAACCCGCAGACCAGCTGATTGTCCAAACTTGGAACGCGCTTCCTGTCATATACCACACACTGCAGCGTGTGAGTATTGCCGTATTAACCATGTTTGGCTCTACGTATGCATGTGAACAGTCGTTCTCACATCTAAAAAACATCAAGACCAACCTACGATCACGTTTAACAGATGGAAGCCTCAACGCCTGCATAAAGCACGTATCAACCAGACTACAAAGCCATCAGCAAAACCATGCAGCACCAGAAGTCACATTAAGGAAGTAAGAAGTAAGAAGTACTGGTAAGAAGTGTTTTATTTATTATTAGTTGGCTTCAGTATAACAATGTTATTAAAATGAATACATTCAGAGACTTATTATACTCTAAAATAGCTGGTCTTACTTAAAAATGCACGCATTTAGTTATATTCAGTGTTAAAAAATATATGGCTCTCACGGAAATACATTTTAAAATATGTGGCTTTCATGGCTCTCTCAGCCAAAAAGGTTATGGACCCCTGGTATATAGCATGGGTGGACTTCTCTGCAAGTGGAAGTGGATAAAGTTAATGCTAGCTCTTTAACTCTGATGCCTCTGATGCTGAATGTTTGACCCTCAGTCCAGGGGAATATTGGAAAAACATTCAGTGAATTGGCTGGGTATTTATGTGCATTTTCTTCAATAGAGGTAGTTTTGAAATATTTTATTTCCTTACTCAGTGGGTATAGGCTATTGTTTGGGTTCTATGTTAGCAGTCTGCCAATTAAAGCAGAAAGATACAGGAACCGTATAGCTAAAATACACACTTAAATAATTATCTCAAGTCTTATTGTCATTGCAATATTGAACAGTGATATTGCACAATTTTCTTCATGTCATGCAGGCCTAGTGTGTACCATGTCAGCATCCCCTCAATCAAACTAACATTTAACAGGCTAACAAGGTCTATCATAACAGGCACAGTCGGTAGTTTGCTCACCTTCTTGCGATCTTTATATTTACCATCTCCACCTTTTCTCACAGTCGGTCTGGTCTGATGACATCCATCTCCATTGGTATGCTTCCATCTGTTTTTCAGGTGATGCTCATTTTTCTGCCCCTCTCTTTTCTTTTTCTGCTGTTGCTTCTTGTTCACATTACAGTTACCTTTGCTTTCATAATTCAGAACTTTGTGATACATGTCACCTTGGCCAGTGTTATTACTGTGGTTAGGTATCACTTCTGTAGTGTAGCCAGCACTGACATGCTCCCTGTCAGTGTTCTGCTTGTGGTAGTCTACGGACCTGAAGTCATCACACAAAAAGGAAGTCGCATTATAAGTCCCCATTGATTGGCCTTGGTAACGTCGCTTCTGAGGTGAAGGAACAAAAACAATTTAGAGATATTAAATCTAATTAAACTGATGTCTATTAAATTTAAGTTTATCATGATACAGTATTCACCAACTACAAGTTCATGTTGTCCTGAGAAACAGCACAAACCTGATTTCACATCTAATGTAACCGTAGCGGTGTAGCCATCAAAATGTTTAACTAAATGTGACATATGAAATAAATCTGCAAGTGCTGCAACAAGGTCATACAGATGAAATATGTAATGTCAACTTTATGGTGTATTAAAATTATCATTACAATTAAAAGTTCAACCCACCTTCTTGCAAGGGCTGGCCTGCTCAGCCTGGGGTTTCCTCTTTTTGGCATTGCCTCTCCTAGCAGTCCCACTCTGGTTCCTATGAAACACGATGAGAGAGAAATGAGTATGCAGGTGAAGACAGCTCAAACACTGCTCAGTAACTACCTGTCATTAGATACCTGTGTGTAAAGACTGGCTGAGCAGAAATCTTCACATCTTCTTCGACAGCAGACAGACTCGTGAACAGGCCTATGAAAGCCATTTTATCTTTGTCGTTATTAGCTAGTTATTTGTTGCCACACGGCACCAACGGAAGTTATTAAATTAAAAAACTTTTTGAGGTCCATCAGCACATAATGGAGATGTTCGCAGTAGGCTAACCGAGGCTACCTCGCGCATATAAATCCCTAAGTTGTTTAAGTCGTCCCGATATTTACTATAGTTACCTGAGTTTTAGTTTAAAGCTGACGCGCCAAAACTTATGTGTTTGGATTATGGTGCAGTCAATTGTGATTCACATGGCTACGTTAGAAACACCATTACACCAGCTTCTGTATTTGACACAAACGTCACACGCTGATTCTACTTCTACTTCTACTTCTCTTGCAGCTGCTGCTGCTGCTGCTGCTTCTACTTCTTTTCTTCGGCGACTTCTTC